AAAAAAATTTTTTTTTAAATGTTTGTTTTTCGTTATATCACTCTGAAAAAAAAATAGAAAGGTGATTTCTTGACTAAAGAAAATTATTTTCTTCAAAATGGTATTCTTGGTTAAAGATTTTGGTTCTTGAGTAAAGTTAATTTTTTTTATCAATGTTGTATTCGAATTATCCAGCTTACTAAAAAAGATCAGCTCCGTCTTAATTACACCATCAATAAAAAGATCTACCGATAGTAATATATCCATCATTAATCTCTTTTAATGACAGTGAAAGCTAACTTCTATTGTCACGTATCATTATCACCTATCAACATCATAATTAGCCAGTACATTGACGACACAATTAAATCCCAGCGATAAATCATCGAATAAAAATTGAAATTAGCGAACTACGTTAACAATAATAAACATCTTGCACAATTTAACCGAAAGATAAGATCATCTGCATTCCTTATTCCTCGTAATTCGCATTGACCTTGGCACAGTAGAAGAAAGGCGACACCGTATTACATTCTGCAATCGAATATTATAAATCATATCATTAAACATTATTGTCTGCACAAATGTAATAAGGAATGAGCAATGAGCAGTAAGCGTGTCAATGTTAATTAATAATCATCGAGACCTAGATCATAATTGTCAGCGTTTAGCTAATGTCATATGATAACTATGACTGATCAATGATCAATAATCGTAATCACGGTGACGGGATCCGAGATCCGAAGCATGGCATGGAAAAAAGAAAATAATTTATTAAAATTACCTATTTTAATTCTAGTTATTTTATACACTAATAAAAAATTGACCCAAGAGAAAAAATGTCGAAAGAAAATAATTTTTATCTTGATTTAAATACACGGAAAAAACAAGATGACACTGGATATCATCCCAGATTGTACTGAGTGAAAAAAATTTTCAGATAGTAGCTAGTATAATCCAGATTACCATGAGTATAATCCAGATTACAATGAGTATAATCCAGATTATAATCAGTATAATCCAGATATCACACAGTATAATCTGGATTTTTTTTTAGCTACTATATGAAAATTTTTTCCACCACAGATATCACTGAGTATAATCTGGGATGATTCCAGTGTCATCTTGTTCTTTCCGTGTAGAAAAATTCTTGTACTAAAAAATTTTTCTTCGATTTAATTAAATTTTTCTTGCTTAGAAAATATTTGGTCTTGATTCAAGCCAATAAAAAGTTTTTAAAATTATTTCTTGATTCAAAAATTTTTCTCTTGATTCAAGTAAATTTTTTTTCAGTCTACGGATAATAAACTTCCACTTGCAAAAGAATTTTTAGCTATAAACTTGTACATATATTATGCATGCATACATTATAGTTTATTTAATATTAATATTTAGGTCACAAAAGGCATTCACGCCGGAGGGTTGATGGAGATAGAACTGAACTAGAATATGTTATGCTAACATTATGCACGGAGCATAGAGCTGAACATTAAGGAACATTAAGAAAGGACATTAAACCGTTAAATCGTTTGAGAGGTGACCAAAGGCGGTGTTGACGTAGATCACGCTGTAAATTACTCCCCATCATTCAAACGCCGTGAATAATTAGTCAGACTAATACGGTTAAATGAGAAACCATAAAGATCAAGGTTCATTGGATCAGATTTTAAATAACTGTTATTAGTTATTATACTTTCGAACTATTTACTGGAAAATTATGGTGACAATTTACGGAAAAGTTTTATTTATTAGTTTTAAATACCAGCCAAGTTATTCCTCTAGTAAAACTGTAGTTTAAGAATTTTTCTTTAAAATTTTCGTGTTTTTTTTTTAGTTTTTTGTCTGTAGAAAATTTTAAAAAGTTGAAAAAATTGAGATAACTTTTTTAACAGTCGCACAAAAAATTTTATTAGTTTAACAAAAATAAATCTGAAATTTTGTAAAAAATCTAAATTTTTCAGTCAAATGAACAGTTTTTTTTTTTTTTTAAATAAAACTTTTTCCGACTTTTTAAAAAAATACAGTAAAAAATTTTGCGTCAAAAAAATTTTCTTTTTAATTTAATTAATTAAAGATTTAAGAGCATTAACATAACAAAATGTTAAACTTACACAAAAAAGTGTTAAATATTTAACACAAAATTTCTTACTATATTTAGATCTAAAATATTATTTGTTCATATTTACATTGAAATTTTAGTGAAAAATGAAAAAATCTTTAAAAAACTCGAATTTTTGTTTAAAAAAATGCGAAAAAGTGGCTTAAAAAATCGAAGATAATTGAATCCCACTATCACAAAGGGCTTAAAAAATTTGTTTTACAGTCTAGTAAAATATATATTCTCTTCAAGAAAATTAAAAATGTCGGTCTCCAAAAAAAGTCAAAATTTGAGTTAAAATGTAAGAAAAAATGACGAAAAAGAAAAAAAAACTACTTTTAAAAATAAAGAAAATAGCCACTTGCAAAATGAAATTACGATAAGTTGATCAGGAATTATAAATTTTCAAAAATTCATATCTACAAGGCTTTTGAAAATTAAGGGCTCAAGATGTAGGATTAGGTGTCTTTTTATACGTACAAAAACATATAAAAAATTCAACTGGATCAAAAAATATGATTTTTAAAATTAGGTGATTTTGCACGGAATGACCCATATAAAATTTCATAAACTATTATTTATACTTATTGAAAATTTTTTACATTGATATGTAGATATACGGAAAAAAAGTTTACCGTAATTAAAAATATTGTAAAAAAGACCGAAGCTGTTTTAGAGAAAGAAGAAATTTTCTTGAAACAAGAAAATTTTATTTTATGTTATTCGCGTCCTTATCCACGGTTTATAATATATTGAATCGAAATTATTATACATAAATTTAACAGTTGATATTTATAATTGAGGTAATTTTTATTAGTGTATTTAAATAAGTTTAATTTAATGTGTTAATTAATTTATTACTATAATTAGTATTATTTTTATATATAATTGAATTGTAATTTTTATTACTGACTGTTGTAGTACCTGAGGAAGCTGCCAAAGTGGCATGAAAATTAAATAAACATCAAGTATTAAATATCCTGAAAATAAGAACCGATTCAATATATTTTATTTTATAATGAAAATAAATATTTTCTTTTTTATAAGTTAAAAAAATTTAATCTAGAGTCAAGAATTTTTCCTTTCTATGTCCGTCTAAGCTCACAGATATTTATAAACTTTTATGAGACCTAACAATTGTACAAAATAATGCTTTCCGTGAATTACAATATTGAGGACGCAACGCTAAATTACAATTAACACCGGGTCAGTAGATCAACTTTCGTTGTCTAACTTGCGTTGTAATTTGTAATTCATGGTTGAGCTATAAATTGTACTATTAGGTTACATATTAAACATTAACAAAAAAAAAAAAATGTGAAAAAGAAGATAGAACCTTGAGAAAATCCCATTACGAAGACCAAGTAGATAGAGACGAATCTCAGAAGGTCTCCCATTATCATGCGGTAGATCATCACCACGAAGGGCCCGACTGTTTTGAACCCTCGGCAGAAGAAAAGAAAGTATGGAGCCGTTGTTAGCATCACCACTACCGCCAGAATGTCTTCTACTTTGTCTTGGCAAGCCATCCTTAGGAATGGAAATGACAGAAGGATGCAGCAGGAGAAGAGGAACATCACTCGCGAGGGTGCTGTCATCTGAAAGGTTCATTTATTTTAAATAATATTTTTTTTTTTTTGTGATTGTATTGCTGTTATAAATTTGTATTTGCAGAGTAACCAGATTTTCAATGAACATATTGAGGCCCAAGAAACGAGCTTCTCGTAGTGCTGCTGCGATGTAAAAAATTGCGCCGAATTCCATAAAAACTTCAGCGGTGAGACGGATTTTCGCTGTTGAGCTTTCTAAGTGCATCAGTCTGCATTCTTCTGTTAAATCTTCCCACCTAATTATTTAGAAACTTTGTTATTTTCTTGAAAATTCAGGGGTTATACGCACTTGAAATTAGAAAAAAATAAATATTTTTAATCTTTGTAAACAATTCAAGGCTGAAATTTTTGATGGAAATTGATAATTTTCTTTTTTCAACGCATCAGTTTGTAAAAAATAGATATTTTTATAATGCTAAAAATTTATCGCTAGATTTTATTTAGGTTGAGTTAAAATTCTGACTGGAAGATGTGATACGGAGAAAATGATAGGGATCATTTTTGTAGAGAATAAAATTTCCGAAAAAAGTATCATTTTTTTGTATCTTCAGTATTTATGTCATAATTTTGATTTTAAATTTTCTAAACACGCACGGAAAAAAGGAAAAATAGAAAAATTACATTATAGGGTAAATGCACCAGTTGTTGACCGGTCCCCAATTAGTTGACCGATGTATAAAAAAGTTAATTAATTAATATTTTACAAGGGTTTTTTTTTTTTTAAAGATGTCGTTAATGCTTCAAAAGTACTGCATAACTTTAATTACATACATGTAGTTTACAAAATTATTTATAATTATTTGAGCGGTCAATTAATTGGATAACGGTCGGTCATTTATTTGGTTTCTTCGGTCAATAATTGGTGATTTTAGTATTTCAAGATTCAAATAACAAAATTAATATAATTTTGTTAATTTTTATTATAAATAGTTATTAATTATTATTAATTAAGTATTTAACTTTAATAAAATCCATTACAAATTGTTTTTAGTAGGTTAATAGATTTTTTATAGCTTAGTACAGAAAAAGAAAACCTTAATCGGTCAATAATTGGTGCATTTACCCTATAACTGGAAAAATTACAGTTTCAGATTGTAATTATTATAGATTTTATAAGAAGTACATTGTAGAATGTAATATTTACATTGAGAGCTCTGAAAATTAACATTCAAAGTTTGAATTTAGAAAAATGTTATTTTGAACTGCAATTTTTCTAATTCTGAATACGACGGGACGGTCTAATAAAAAAGAGGTTTAGCTTTTTGCGAATGTTTCAAAAACTAATAAAGATTTTAAAAATTTTTAAAAAGATTAAAAAAAAAAAGGAAATTTTCTAAAAAAAAGTTCCAACTCTCGGAATTGTAGGACCAATACTTATAATTTTCCCAGAGGGATGAAAATATGGCCGAAAACGGGTGCTTTGACTTGCGTAAGCTACGCTTACTTTAGACACTTAGTTAATAAAAATTATTTTAACATATTAAATATAAAATTAAAAAAATGAAAAAATTCAGGGGCTTACTGGATAGATAAATGAACAATAATCCGCCTGAAAAAATTTTTATCGCAATTTTTTAATTAGTTATGCAATAGTTAATTAATAATTTGTTTTCTGCTTAAACATGAACATTGCAAGTGTGATAGTTGTTAAACTATAAATTTGAGATTTTCCTCTCTTGTAGCAATTTTTGAAAGGTTTCAGAGACTTACTGGCACAAAAACAAACATGATTTTTTTTGTTATTTTTCAATATACGTTCTCTGTAAATTCGTCATTCTTACCTGGTTTTTCATCCTTAAAATTATTATAATTTATAAACTAATGAAGGTACGATAAAAATACTGAACTTACTAATTCTCCATTAGTTAAAGAAAAAATTCAGCTGAAAAGTTTAGTTGTTATTAATTTATTTATTAAATTTACAGCAATTGTTTATGAAAAATACTTCAGGAAAAAAAATTTTTTTTTGCTTTAATTTAAATATCTTATCAACTATTAAAAATATAACTATCTCATTCAAGCATCTTATTATTTATTGCTAATTACTAAACATTTTTACCTTTTAAATTTAAATTTCACTTCATCATACTTTAAATTCTCAATATTACTATGTAAACAAAAAATTATTGCAGAGTTTATTAGCCTAAGCGTATTAGAAAGGAATAATGATCTTTAAATTGTGATTCATTTAACAAAATTCATTAATAAGCAGTTATTAACATATAATATTTTTTTACAGTAAGTTTATTTTTTTAAACGTTACTTTGATGGTGACTCATCAGTTTCTTCTTTCACAATGTCTTCAGTTTCTTCTTGTGTTGAATTTTCATCGTCCTCTTCGTCCCCCAGCAAAGTTTCCAAAATTTGTCCAATAAATGCAGCATAGTCAGCACAAGCACTATCATCTTCATTTTCATTTTGTAAACTATTTCCTTTATCAACATCATCAACTTCCATCGCTACCTTTTTACAATTATCACAACTCTCTCCTTTGCAACGTTTACAAAGAGGAGAACAAGCAAGCCCAGCTTTTTTGCATCCGCATCTATTCGAACAGTTTTTGATGCACTTACAGTGAACTAATTTTAAGAGTTCATTAGATTCAACAGCAGATTTCTCATGAAGAGCCACATCATCATAAGAATCACAAATACCTAATTTAGCCAAAGTGTTGATAGCAGTTTTAGAACCACAATTATGCTTCAAATATATTCCAGTAGCCAAATGGAGTGGAGACAAAAATGATTCCGGACGAATAGCTTTTACTATTGACGTTCCAACCTGGTCAATTTTAATTTTAACGTCTTTGATAACATTATCGTCGTTTCCAATTAAGCTTCCACTTGACTCCGTGGTAGATGATGTAGAAGCGGAAGAAATATCTCTAGACTCCCTCCTAACATTTTCTATGCCTTGCTTTTGTTTCTTATCTGCATCACATAGAATTACTTCATCCAGAAAAGTCTTTAGATAGGAAGGTACGTCATCACTAACTGATTCTAAAAACTTAACTGAAAGAGGATTTTTTTCATTATTATACTTTGTTCCTTTGATTTGTTTGCGAATTAGTTCCGCAGCAGTCTTAATTATTCTAATGTTTTCAGCTTCTTCTTCTGCTTCTCGATGCATGTACCACGAATCATCGAGAGTATGCTGATCATTTCCAAGGTAGCAAATAGTTTTACCTTCGTTTGGTGAAGAATGAATAATAATATTACTGCCATATTGATTTTCGAGGTATTTCAACAACGTTTTCTCTGAAGGTTTGTAACGCATAGTACTCAATAATTGTTCAACAGTAAATTGGCAATCAATACTGCTTTCAATATAATCATAAAGACGGATCATAGAATCTTGTAATTCTTTTTTTGATTCAGATGGTTCAGTTTTTCGTACATTACAATAATCAGTGTAACACCGTTTATGATAACGAGCACCAACTTCAACTAAAGATTCAATATCAATTATACGATTTCTAATAATAATACTCTGTTCATCGTTTCTATCTAGCGCAACTTCCATCAATTTTAATTTCATTTCATCGGCTCTGACTATATATTTTGTTTCTTTTGTTTTGCCTTTCCATGGTTTAGCACAAAACAAACACAAGGTTTCAAAATTGAAATCATTACAGCCACGTAGTGATCGTCGAGATGTTGAAGGTGAAACTAAGTTGGGGTTACGTTTTGCAGAGTAAGTATAGTCATCCCGGCACTTTTTGTGCACATCTAGTTCAGTTTTAGCCTTCAGATAATTCCACTTCTTATCTTTTAAAGTTTTACTGCAACTTATTAGTGTATCTATTGCTTTTTGCTTTATTCGAACGATTGGCAAAGTTTGTAATGGATTTTCACAGATAAAACAATTTTCCGGATTCATTTTTAAGGATAATTTAAGTCAGTAGCTAAATTCACAATATTATATTTGTTGAATGAAACGCACAGTTTGGATGTCGACTTGAGACTCAAAAATGGACGGTCAGTTGGGCCCTTAGAAACCTTGAGCAGATGTTTCTAACAGGTAACTATGGAGGCTAGAGGTACCTCTACCCTCCATACAGGTAACAAAGAAGGTATTTTCTTTCTCTCTCTTGCTGGGTCGTTAAGTTCAGCTGGCCTCTGGGTTGTCCCGTACAGCCAATGGTTGTGTGAGTTGAGCGTTATGTTGGTATTCTATCGGGAATTTTAATTTCGTCTTCTCCTTTGATTATAGTGTGAGTAAGATTGGATACGCTTCTAATGTTTATTGCAAATTGTGTTATTTTATTGATGATTTCTTCATCCTCGTTGAAGGCGAGGTTCCAAATGTCGTATGGTGGTTGAATCTTTTCTTTTGATAAAAATTGAATGAATTCTTGGGTATTTTCTTAGTGAGATTGCAATTAAAATATAGAATTTACATATAGAAATTTTTGATTAGAAAAATTTTAAAAAATATCGCTGTGTATAAATCCTAGTCCTAGATATTAAAATTGATGGTTGATTAAAGTTAGCTTAGCATCGAAATAACTCGAAAACATGGACCCTGATTCCTTATTGGTCTAGGATTAGAACGCGCGCGTATGCGCGCAATTTGAATGTATTTCTAGTATAAGTTAAATTTTAAAGTTGTAGGCTAGGTTACTTCACCATTATGATTATTATTTTGTTTCTATCTCTTTCCAATATATTTTATCTCTTTTTAATGGTCTACAGTGTTGCCAGTTAGTACGAAAGATAATCAACGCTACTTAATTTGCCGAAAAAGTTTATCTTTTTAATTAGTCGGGCACAAATATGGTTTTTTTTTGTTTTCAATAATTTATTAAGGTTTCAACTTTAAATTAAATAGTTTTTTTTTTTTTAATTTCCACCGACATATTTTGGAGAAATCTATAAAAACATATCATCCATCGTTCTACTGTTTTACCATAAAGCCAATGTTAAATATGCCTACTTTTAAAGCCCGATTATTTATTTATTTAAATAATCGGGCAACCCCTCTCCCCTCTCTAAAATTTTCAGAATTGGTTTAGACTTAGTGCTCGTACTACCTTAAAATAGGCATGTTAGAAAGAAATTGTAATTATCAAGTGACCTTTAATAATTACTCGAAGACATGAAGGTCTATTGTAATAGAATGAGATTTTAATGATAATATAAATTGTTCTTAAACTATTATAAGCATCATAGAAACAGAACCTGAAAATAAAAATCTAGATATTCGTAAATTTTCCTAGTATAATGAAGTGAGATATTGGAATGTAAAAGGTAAAAATGCTCAGTAATAAACAATAAATGACAAGATGATATTGAATGAAGTAGTCATATTTTAAATAGTTGATAAGATATTTAAGCATTGAAGCAAAAAAAATTTTTTCCCATAGTATTTTTCATAAATAATTGCAATAAATTTAATAAATAAATTAGTCACAGCTGAACTTCATTTTTGTTAAAAAATCATTAAGATGTCATTCCGAATGAAAAAATTTGACCATAAAGACACTTGTTGACGAAACTATATGGTCCTTTTTGGTAGAGAATTTAATTTTATATTTTTCTAAACACCTAGTTTAATCAAACACTTAAAAGGTTTAATTTTACATTAAATTTCTGGCTAAATGATAAGAAGTAGCGGAAAATTGATAGGAATCTTTTTTGTAGAGAATTTAATTTTCTACAAAAAAAATCTCATATAATTTTTATGAATCTCTAATATCGAGCCTAGAATTTTGACTTCAATATTATCTAAGCACGTGGTTTAGTCAAATTTTCTGAAAATCGAATTTCAAAATAAAATTTTAGGTACATGATAAAAGATAGAGGAAAATTAATAAGGACCTTTTTGGTACCGGATGAAATTTCCTACAAAAGAGGCACTTATATTTTTTTGTATCTTCAGTATTTAGCCCAGAATTTTGATTTTAAACTTTTTAAACAAGTAGACTAATTCATTTTTGAATTTACTGGACGCAAAAAAGAATAACTTGCTAATAAAATTGAACGTTTTCATCACAAAAATTTTTTTTCAGCCTTCTAAGTGCGCATAACCCCTTAATTACAATACCAAAATCAAACATACCAATTTTCCGTAAACCCCCAACTGGGCAAAGTCGGCAGCAAGTCAAGAAACGACTCAGTGACAGCATAGTCAGCCTTACTTCCACTTTTATCATCCTCTCTATGATCCAAGGAAACATCCGATCTATTAAAACTTTCTCTAGAAGCATTGGAGGTCTCACTTAGAAGCTTACTGGCATTCAAGGACATCTGAGTGAGAAAATTTTCCAATTCCGCAGACGTCAGATTTGCGTTTGCAAAGTTTGACGTCAAAGAAGTTGCCAGCACGTCAATCAGCTGAGACAGTTGCGAAGGCTCTTGATTGCTCGCGTCAGTCACCGAATCTGTGTAAGCCATGGTCGATTTGGTGGCATTTGGAGCCGCGGAAGATGAAATAGGACCTGGTCTTAGTGTGAAGCTTATCAAGGACAGGACGAAGTAGAAGCAGAACAGAAAGAACTGTCGGTAGAACCTTGACTTTATGAAAGTGTTCCATTTGGCGTTCAAGAGGTCAACTAACACGCCGTCCATCAGCTCCAGATGTTCGTCCTTTTCTCCGAAGACCACCAGGTTCAATGCGGAGTTGTTGTTGATCGTTCCAGTGGTTACGTCTATTGTGTCTACCTGGCCCAGGGGGTAAGCCGCGCAGGTTATGCTCCCGATCTGCCAGTAAATTTCACGTTCTATGTTCATTATGTGGAAGAACATCTCAATTCGCGCTAGTTTCGCTGATAAAGTCAAAGGAGTCAGCTGCAAATTGTTACGGATTGGTAAAGAGGCTCCGACTTCGTAAGCCATGTCGAAGGTTGCCTGAAAATTGTAATAATAAAAGAAAAAATGGTTGTGTTTAAAGAAAAAAATTTAGAAAAACGGTAGACCTTGAAGGCCATCCGCGCAACTTCCCGCTAATTCCATACCTAGGTGCATAAAATTGCACTAATGATGTTTTTGAGCTCTTCGAGCTCAAAAGTCTGATGGAAGTATCATAGAACAATATTTTTAAAATTTTCAACCTGTACTATAACTTTTGAATGAATCAACCGATTTTCATGCGGTTGGCAGTATTTGACGCAATTTTTTTAGTTTCATGAAGAATCTTTAAGTTTGAATTGATAAAACTAGGAAATTTGGATTAATTCCAAAAAAACACTTTTTTTGGTTTTCTATCGTTCATGATATTTCTTGAACGAATTGACCAATTTTGACCGACTTGACGGCGATCAACGTAATTTTTTCATGCTAATAACGGATTAGTTTTTGAAATCGATCAATGCAGCCGTTTCAAAGTTATTCCAAAAAATGTCGGAGTTATGTTAAAAAAAACACTTGTTTCCAAATATTTTATCGAGGATATCTCTCGAACCAATCAACCGATTTCCACGTTATTGGCGGCGATCGACGCGATTTTTTAAGCTCTGAAATTATTCTTTATCATCAAAAACGATCCGAGAAGAAATGACGAAGCTATGTCAAAAAAACACTGTTTTCGGTTTTCTTTCGTTGACGATATCTCTCGAACGAATCAACCGATTTTGACCGGATTAGCGACGATCAGCGTGGTTTTTTAAGCTTAAGGGCGGATTAGCTTTTAAAGTTGATCGATAAACCCGTTTAAAAGTTATTTAAAAAAAAACCACTTTCAAAAATGATTTTTTTTGAGATTTTTCAAAATTTCTCGAAATCTATCGGTCCGAATCGGTTCAAATTCTCAGGAAATCTAAGTTATACCAAAAATTTAATATAAAAATAATGTCTTTGCAACAAATATGTATTATTCAGAAAAGACTATTTCATTGGGTGGTACAATTTTTTTTACTTAAAATGATGATATACCTTTTTTTTTACTGATTGTTTGATTTACGATTTAGTACCTTTTTCATGAAAAAAATAGCATCTATCAGCGATTCTCGGCATGTCAACTTTTAAGTTAACAAAAATATAATTTTTTTGATATATAATTGAAAAAATTTACAGAAATCCATTACTGTATCATTTAATAATTATAATATGCCCATATTACTCATAATAAATATACGGATTTTGTATTATAATAATTCGAAAAGTCTGTTCAAGTACTGGGTATTTTACCTTAATAAAAAAAAAAAATAAGTTTGTGTAAAAATATCAGAAAGTTGTGAAAACTCGCTATTCTAGCTCGATCAGGACAAAAAAAAGAAAAATTGTAGAAAACTGACCAATTTTTGATAAATAACCAGCATGTGCAGCACGGTATTTCCATTAGTGTCTTGTTTGTCAGGATCAGCACCTCTGGCAAGCATCAACCGATAGCACTCTTCTTGGCCCAAGCACGCGGCGAAGCTCAGCGGATATTCACCCCAGTAAACATATCTATTAAACACCAAAGATGATTCAATCAATACATCACATTAAGCTCTACATATGTCGTCATAAATCTATTATCTACGACTATGAAAGAGCTAGCATTAGCGATTAACCAATCATGACTATAGTATATAGTCATCTGGGTAATTGCAACTTGGAAAAGTTGGTGAATCATACCCGTCGTAATTAGTCTCCGTAGTAACAGAGACCCATTCATGATCCAGGCTGTCAGATCTCGACGCTTTCTGGTCTTCTGGGCACATAAAGTTCCCAAAACAGCGTTCGTGGACATCCGCTCCGCTGTCCAAAAGGTACTTGACCATCGCCGGGTCCTCATTTACTATCGCGATGTGCAAGACGTTTTCGCCTTAAAATAGAATGACATAGATCTATCCATGTGATTTTTCTTCATTATTATTAATTATAATGTAATGATTAATCATTAGTCATAATTACCGTAATACTCATCGCTGATGTAAATGTCATTAATAAGCCGGGGATAGAAACGCAGTAATCGTTTAGCGAGATCTGCATGGAGAGCTGTTGCATTCAACATACACAGATGCAATATTGTTTCTCCTACCGCTCCCCGCTCACTCAAATTCCAGCATACTTCTCTATATTTACTTTTGTCTAATTTTAAACCAAAGTATTTATAAGTTTCTTGTTTATTGTTTGTTTAATTCATCTATTTTTACTTTGAAATTTTTACAGTTCTTGAAGCTTAATGTTCTGTCCCTGATTAAGAAATTTAATTTGAAATGATTAAAAATAATTGAAAACAATTCAAAATTATTTGAGTTGATAAATATAAAGACATACACTTTGAATGGATTGAATTATTTCAAAATACATTTATAAATTAGGGATTTTAAGGAAGACACCGGTGGCGCCATCTGTTGAGTATTTAGTGAAATAATTTTGACCCATTTCACCCTGTCAATAATACCTACACTTGAGTTGGTGATTTCAAATTAATATATTTGTCATTTAATTAACGACTATTTAGGTATAAAAATTAAAATACACAAGTTGATGAATCAAAAAAAGTGTCTAATACAAAAAAAAATTAGTCAGATTAATTTGAATACGGTTAAAAAATTTAAATGTTCGCCGTCACTCTTATAGTGTCAATAATGGGGGCTCTTACCTTACTTAAAAATTTTTACTTATTAAACTTTAGTCTATTGTTATCGACAGAAAAGCTTAGTAGCGCCATCTATGAAGTTTCTAAGGAATCATTTATTATTTTAACGTTAAAGAAGGTTTCTACTTGCTCCAATGTTAAATTACTTCACAAAATAACAAACTAAAAAAATCTATTTCTTATATTTAGACAATAATTCTAATAAAAAGAATAATTTCGGCGATTTAACATCAAAGTAACGTCAAGAACTGTCGGAATTCCATAAACATCCGTCTAAACCACTAAAATTAGGTGTTACTTGCCTATTTTACTATCATCAACTATACTGTCATCGATATCTTTGGTAACGTCATAATCCGCGGGATTTTCCATGGCTTTGAAAACAGGTAACTAAAAATAAGTTAATAAGATAACAAACATCTCTTCCTGAGCACGGGGTTCCAAAACAAAGAAATAACTCGGTTAAATAAATAACCGGAAAAAAATTACCATCTTGTGGCGTGGGCGATCTTTGTTTCTCAGCATCACGAGCTTCGCAATAGGAATCCAAGCGCCTTTGCCCTTGTTATAGAGAAATGGCTCGACTTTGGTCCTAATAGCGTGGTCTAATTCCGCGTATTGCTTCGTTTGAGTCGCTCTCTTCATCATGTCTACCAGCAAGCCTCCACCTGGTGGAATTCAAGGTTAAGAACATCTTTTCATTGATAATATTTATACTATTTAATTTATAGAAGCTTTTGTATCAAGAATCCGAGGAATGAGTGCGTCAATTATTTTTACGCTAAAATTAATTCAACCAAGTTAATATTGAGGTACTTGACGGACAAACTGAGACATGACTCACGCAAACGGATCACACCCACGTATTATGTACAAATATCACATCCGTACAAATATTTTTTGTGTAAACATTAATCGTGTTTGATTTTTAACAAAACTTTTAGCGATTTAATCTAAATTTTCATTCATTTATTCGTTTAAATTCACCTTTTAGATCGACTAATTTGTAAAGCAAAATTGAAGAAGTGTCCGTTTGTTTTTTTACTGCACTTGCAACATTACTTTCGGTGTTTCCCATTATTTATTTAATTATTAATTATTATTGTTTATTTACAAGCGAAACATTGGCGATTTTTCAAGACAAACTTCCAACATGGTTCCCACGCGTAACATCGATCAAACAATCACTGTAACATATACATATTTGTTTTATAAATGAATGAATGTTTTATTTTGTTGAAATATTTGTTCATTTTTTTTGGATTTAATTTTAGGCTTGTAATTTATTAATTTAGAATTTTTGAATGAGATCAAGCCATTAGATTTAAAAGAAATGCGCAAATATCGTGTGAAACAACGTGTTGTTTTGACGGCGACGACCCGGTTATATATATTCACATCTATATCTATCTGATATGAATGCTTTAAGTCAGTAACATGTGTATTTATTTTTTCAACTCATCAAAACAATTTTTTGGCATTCTTTTTGCAAATTACACGCTGGCTTTTAAAGATCATTTAATTTATTGTTATGCAGAAATCTATTTTTTTTTTGCCTAAACTTCACATCTGGGTAAAAAAAAATGGCAAAAAATCTTTCAATTTATTAGAACAAAAAAAAAAATTATTAAAAATTCGAGTTTTTTATTTATAAAAAATTATTTTTAGTTTTGTTATATTTATATCGTACATATAAAATTGTTCTGAAAAGTTAAATGTGGTTTTTAAAATTATAAAAGTAAAATTTTATTTTTTTCATTTTCTCAATTTGTTATCCAAAAAATTTTTAAACTTTCAACCAAATTTTTAAAAAGATTGTTTTCATTTTAAGTCTTGCTTATAAATTTTGGCGTAAAAAATTAAAAATAATAAATTATTAATATTAATGTTTAATTAAATAAAATTAATTATTTTAAAGTTATTGAAATAAACTGCTATAATTTTAAATCAATTAAATTATTATAGAGATAATTTATCGATAAGAGCTTGTAGAAATTAAAAAAAAAAAGATCATTTCTGCTACGATAAAACAATAAAATCAAAACGAATGCAAAAGTAAAATTTCATTCGATCTGTCTAAGAGAGTAGATAATTTTTGGTTTAGACTTATGCAAATTAAAACTTATTAATAAGCTTTCAGATAGAGCAAATTTTTTTTTTAACTAGACTATAAAATTTTTATTTTTCTTGTTGGAGAAAGAAAATTTCTAATAATTTGATGATGAAATCATTATGATATTAACATGAATTTATAATAAAGTGATGGTCATATCTGTATAACATCATAATGGTATTATAGTGATATTGTTAGCCTTTTTAAATAATGATATAAAATTATTGAGCCATAATGATATAAAATTATAGAGCCATAACTATGTACAGAAAATAATGCAAATTAATTAAATTAAAGAAATTTTTAGGAGGATTTAAATTGTTTTCAAAATAAAAAATAATTATCTTAAAAGACAAAAAAATTTTTTTAGTCATAACTTTTTTTTAAACTAAAATAGTTAGTATTTTTCTAAATATTCTTTCAAGATAATAAAGTCAAGGAAGAAAGTAAAGTAGTTCAACAGTATAGTGCATGATAAAATACTGTTTTTTCAATTATTACACGGAAAAAAAATTAACGTGGATCAAGAGAAAAATTCTTAAACCAAGAAAATAATTTTTAAGAATTTCATTGTCTTGGATCAAGACGAAACATTCTTGAATCAAATGAAATTTACTTAATTAAGTAATCTTAGTCTAAGAATTTTTCTACTCAAATCAAGAAGATAAAATTCTTCAAAATTATTTACTTGATTCAAGTAAATTTTTTTTCTGTGCATATATTTTCTCTCATTAACTGAAAAAATGAAAATTTTACTAATCTTCTTAAAAAAAAATTCGTTCTCATAAGTATTTTACTTATTACTGGTTTCAAATGTGTATTGATATGGCTTTTTTATGATATTTGTGTCAAAACATAAGATTTATAATGAATCTCATCATGATATCAGATAATTTTTACACGGGTAATTTTTTAAAATTTGGATTAACAAATTTTAATTAATTTTTCATCTAACCATTTTTTATTTTTGTCTATAAAAAAAATTTACGCCGCATTTTTTCATTAATAATAATTAAAAACTTGGAGTAAATTTACTGCGAATGAAATCAATCAAAAATCACCCGAAAATTATTTAGTACAACATATGTTAAAATTCCAAGCGAAATTTCTCGCCGTCAATCTATTCTACTTCCTGCAAATGTTTTGTATTTATTTTCACTACCTAGTGTAAGTACAATTGTTAAGTTATTGCTTCATACATTTATAACTATTTAAATTTTTATTTTTATTTGGATTTTGTAGCGTACAACATTCCAACATTCCGCGGACACCGACATCGACTTTAAACTTGGAACTTATTATTTAAGAATCACACACTCGACTATTGTGAATACAAACAGTTGTATTAATAACTTTGAATATATCGCGCTCTAAAGAATACATATGATTTATATATATATATATATATATATATATACATACACACATAGAAGAAATGAAGAAAGAGAAGAGGTGATTTATGCCCGCAACTATATAGAATACTTTCCGCAAATTTAAAGAACGCGGAATGAATGAGAAGAAATATTAATTTTATATATTTATTGTGTATTGTACATATTATATATATGTAATATAATGGTGGTCTATTTGATACTTAAATTTTATATATAACGATGAATTATTCTCGGTGTTATTATATATATGTTGTACGTATCCAATTTAAAATAATCTTGACCCAGTTGTGAAAGTAATTAATAGCTTGGTGAATTTATTGGATGAGTTTGTTGCTAAAAAAAACGTATTAGTATGTGTTATATATTTTCTTTTTTTTTTTTTTTGGCGTATGACTAATCCGTTTTGTTACTTTATTATTTTATTAAGACACTAAACACTTGACGTTCGGGAGCAATTATTGGTTAAAACTTTAAACTGAAGAAGTTAATTATTTCTCGAGTGTAATTTTAATTACACTGATAGAAATTTTTAATTGTTAATAAATTTATGTTGAAATTAAAATAATTTATTAAATATAAAAATTTTTTGAGTCTTAATAAATATTTTTATTTTTTAATCAATAAATTTCTACTTTTTTCAGTTCAAGCTTATTCAAAAAAAAAAAATTTGAAATCAAAAAAATTAAATTTTCAAAAAAAAATTTTGAAGGGAATTTAAAATATTTTAATATTTCAAAGAAAAAAATGTACACTAGCTAAAATATCGATTTAAATAAAGGATTTAATCAAGTAAATTTGTATTATTATTTCTTTCAGAATTTTTACAATCTGAGATGGTTATTGTTACCATCTATTACATTTGTCAATAATAACACCTATTATTTTGTTACTAATTAATTTTATTACCATTCTGGATAGTAGGAGTTACTATTTTTGTATAGTAGGTAGTATAATTAATTTTTCTCCGTGTAACGTTCTAAAAAATTAAAAATATAAAAAATCAAAAAATTCCTATGAAAATTTAAATAAAAAATAAAATTAACAATGACAAACAAAGCTAATAATAAATCGACGTGCAATTTGCCGTCAATTCAAACTGCGGCAATTAAATTTGTCACGGAATTATGCAAACGTTGATTTAACTCACATGTACACATACGTATATATAGTACGATAGATGAGAGTCTTATTTACAATTACAACTGCCGGGCGTCTGAATTAAAACAACGTGCGTATACAAGTATGACGGAATTTAAACTGTGACTGACAAGGCCACTAATTTAATGTACATTTAAAGAGCTTTTTAATAGCTTCGCTTAATCTTTTATACTTTATATCCATAAATACAAATATAAACAAGTTATAAATAATATATATATCAACCGCACACCTAATGCATCATATCAATTAATAATAAAAATTAAGTCAATATTTATTTTCGTTTTTTTCCACATTATGTACAATATATAACGAGTAATTATTAATTCATCAGTGACAGCTGACCTTCATATTATTTATTTACAATTTTTTTATATTCAATTAAATTTTTAATATTTTACGCGGTAAAAAATCGTGAATTTTTCTTCCAAAACTCGGAATATAATTTTTAATTAATTTCAAAAAAAATTTTTACTTCGGCCAACACAACTACGGTCTTCCTTCATGCACCCGAAAATTTTTTTAATTTTCTTGAGCCAAGAATTTTGTTCTCCAGTTAAGAAAATTTTCTTCCTGTGTATAAAAATATTTCTTACTATTTTTCTGTATTTTCAATATTTCACCCAAAATTTTAATTAAAAATTTTTGCTCTGAATTTTGAATTAAATAATCTACATGAAAAAATTAGCAAAGAATTAAAATCAAAATTGTAGATAACTATTAGAAATAAGGAAAAATTTACAAGGATCTTTTTTATAGAAAATTAAATTTCCTTAAAAAAATTATACCTATTATTTTTTTATAGTCAAAAATTTTGCGTCAAAAAATTTTATGTTAAATATTTAACACAAAAATTTTTAACACTAAATTTTTTGACGCAATGACGCAAAAATTTTTACTGTGTATCTTCAATATTTCTACCGGAATTTAGATTTCAAATTTTTGCTCTTAATTTGTTCTTAATTTTGAATAAAATATTTAAGAAAAAAATGGATCGAAATTTTTTTGTATTAATTAAATTTCCTACAAGAAAGATTTCTTATGAATTTTTTGAATTTTCTATATTTTATTTAAAATTTGAGTTCCAAATTTTTCTTTCTTTAATTTTTCCAGAAAATCTCGAATCAATCATAAAATTTTCTAAAGTAAATTTTTCTTAAGTAGATTTTTTTTTTTAATTAATAAAAATTCTTACAATAAGAAATTTTTCTTTAAATTGAGAAGAATTTTTAACTCTCTTCAATTATGATTCTTCTTTACCGACCACCAAAAAAACTTTTTAAAAATTATCGGCCGAAGGTAAGAATCTTTAAAGTCAAGAATCAGAATTCAAGGCAAAAAAAATTCCTAAAAAATAAAAAAATTATCCCACCAAAAATATCTCTTCCAATAAAATAAATAAAATAGATGTTA